TGAGCTCCTCCAACAATGAGAATAGTCAGGTTCATATCAGGAAGCCAGCCTAACAAGCTTCTCCTGGAGATTAAATAGCAAACATCTTCCCCTCCGGAGCCAGGAAGTGGTAAAGTAAGGACAGAGCTCCCACAAAGTGAACCATAGCCATCATCAGTGACAAGGTCCCAAGCTCCTCTAATGTGATAACAGCCAAGTTCATATCAAGGAAGCCAACAGGACAAGCTCCTCCAGGAGAATCAACAACTCCAAACAAGCACAGGTAGATGGCCTCAGATGGGCCATCTACACCCAACACAAAGCTGATTCAGTTCAGTTGGTGTTAAGTTGACCACCAGTTTTTAATCCATAACAATACCCTTGGGGTACTAAGTAGGTACCCAAAGGAATGGCAAATAGACATTTGGGCGTGGTGGCTCACACCTGTAATCCCAGTACTCGCAAGGCTGAGGCAAGTGGATCGTTTCAAGTTCGAGACCAGCCTGGGCTACAAAGTGAGTTTAAGGCCAGCCTGAACTGCATAGAGACCCTGTCTCAAAAAAGACAAAAAAAAAAAAAGAAAATAGACACTCAAATGTACTCTTGTACACAAAGGCTCCTGACACCATTATGCACATAGCCAATGCCCACCACCTGTGCAGTGGAATAGTGGGCTGGTAAAGGAGTGAAATGCTGATCCACTCTACCAGTGGGAACCCGAAAACAGAAAGAAATTAGATACAAGAGGCCTCGCACATATTGTATAATTTATACTTACAGGAACTGTCCTGATGAGGTACGTCCACAGAGATAGAAATCGGACAGGCAGTGGCCATATCTGGTAAAGGGGTAGTGGGGATCGATTTATTAATAGAGAATTGGGCTTGGGGATTTAGCTCAGTGGCATAAGTACCTGCCTGGCAAGTGCAAGGTCCTGAGTTTGGTACCACAAAAAAAAAAAGAATAGAGAATCTTCCAGGGCACAAGCGCCTGCCTGACAAGGTCGTGAGTTTGATTCTCAGTGGAATGATGAGACTATGTTGGAACCTGACATAGGTGGTAGCTCCTATCACACTGGAGTATACAGATTGCCACCAGATTAATTTTGTGTTAAGTGATGTTTTACCCCAACTGAAAACAAAGAAAAAATAACTACCAAGTTTGCAGGGACAGGTCAAAGGTGGATTGAATCCTGTGTGTGATATTCTTCGTTGCTTAGGATTTCCTTCTGGAGTGTTGAAAAGATTTTGAATTTGACACAGTTTCTAAAGTCTTTAAATGGTGAATGCTTTCCTCACAGGCAAAGAATATAATTTCAAAAAAAAAAATGACGGTATGTTAAGGAAAATGCTTTTTTAAGAGTGGAAAACGCATTAAAAAATTGATTATCACCTTGGATCATCATTTCATATATTTATTATCTCTTGGTATCTCTGAGTTTCCCCCAAAATCATCTTCAAAGATGCTAACAAAAGATTCAGGTATGGTGATACGCACCTGTACTCCTAGCAGTGTAGGAGGCTGAGGCAGGAAGATTTCAAGTCTAAGCCTAGCTCGGGCAATTTAGCAACTTAGTAAAACCTATCTTAAAAGACAAACTCACTGTGAAGGCCATGGGTTCAATGCCAAGTACTGTAAAAAAATAAATAATGCTAATAAAAATGACTCCCGAGGTGGGCCTTATAATGCTTAGTGGTAGAACACTATCATGTGTAAGACCCTGGGTTCAGTGCCCAGCATTGCCAAAACCAAACAAAGCCACTTGTCCAAAGAAATCCTTCAGAATTGGAATAGCCTATGAAAATGCTACATTCCCTTCTGACATTTTGTAGCAAAATTAAGGCAGACATGCAGATTCTGAAGTTTATATGGTAGTACACACATAGCTTGTGGAATATTCTAGTTGGCTTGGAACGTGGTATGCCATTAGTTTATTATTTACTGTGTATCCATGCTTGACAATGAAAATCAACTTTTGCAAGATGAAGCTCTTCCTCCTATAAGGTAGAAAAGGTGTAATGCATGCTCTGAATGATATGACAGGAAGAAACCCAGAATACAGTGAGGGAGAAAAGAGGGCTGGGAAGGAGGTCATCCCCAGGGATTCTATATTCCTACTCCGCAAACAGGCTAGACATCAAAAATACAGTGGTAGAAGAAAGCAAACCAATTTTTTTCTCCTGTAACAGTCCTAAATGGAGTATTCTGAAAAGGGTAGGTAACAAAATCTCTAAGTTGATCTCGGGAGGAAGGGAATCCAGCTTCCTTTATCTTTGTATTCCCCCATTCCAAAGGCTCAGAACTGGCTCTGACCGTCTCAGGACTAGTGCTTTGAAGCTGTGTATGATACCACCTGTGTCTGCTTGTATTGTTTGCAAAAACTCCTTCATCAGCTTAGAAACTACCCACAAGGACCTGACACCCTCTACACAAGAGAGCTTATCAGGATATTTATTCACTGTGCCATGCTATGCTGTTTCAAGTGCCGACCGCAGCTGGAAAATTAGAATCCTTTTTACATTTACCAAGTCTTAGCGATGAGTAAAAAATGCACTTCATATGGGGACAACTATTAATAAGAAACTAGAGACAGTTAGATAGACAATGAAGATCTCCAGTGGGCTTGCTACAAAATCTGTATTTCTTTAAATTGTTTTTTCAACTGCTATGTTCTGTTTTGATATGTTTAATCTTACCCTCTTTGAGATGTAAAAGAAATGTGTAGGACTAATAACCATATTACTGAGCTCTTGTTCGATCATAGAGCAGAAGGGTTTGTAGTGTCACTTTATGAATGTCATTCTAAATACTTTAATTCTATAAAATGAACAGCTATTTCTAAGATGACAATGTGTAACTTATCAACCAACAATTTCTTACCGTTTGTTTTTCTGTAAGTTTGTACTATTTCTACCCTTTTTTTAATCTCCATGTATTCTTTTGTTTCCTTTTCTTTAAGTAAAAAAAATGCACTTCATTTGTTAAGATGATTTCTATCTCGCACACATATTTTGCATTATCTCAGCTTCCTCGCCTGCACAGTTTATTAACAATGGCTCTACTTTGGGTATTAACAATGGAAAAGTCACTCACGATCAGATATTAGGACGTTTGATCTCTCATGTTAACTTTATGTTTCTAGCAGTGAATTCATTGGTTTTGACATGTTGTGTGTAACCGCAAAGAGGTTATTAACCATAGTCATAATTCCCATTTTTTTGTGTTGATTACACACAGATGATAAGTTAATTACACTTACAGAGTTTTACAACATATATAAAAGATAATCTTCAATTTTAAGACTAATTTGTGAGTTACCATCTGTTTTGGACCAAAAAAAAATAGAAATCTGATTCTGAACCTTTTTTTTTTTGAACAGCTTGTAATAAGAGCTGTTTGTATATTAACTACTTATTGAATTATTATGGATTTTAATGTTTTAATTTATAAGCAATTTGGAGCTTATTTTGGCAACATCTGCTCATATTTTGATATTTTGTGGCATTTAACAATTTCATCATAAGGCTTATTTTCTCCCCCTGGTAATTTAACAACCAAGTCCCCAAAACAGTGATTTGCTATCTACTTCCACTTACTCTGAAGCATATTGCCCTGTTTCATCTTCACTGCAGATTTTTTCCATAATTAAATTTTTTTCATTTTAAACGCAACATCAATATTCCTTTGTGCCTGTTTCATTCTGTCTTTTAATTTCTATTCAAAGAGCTGTGGATGCACTTTGTATAAATCTCATTATTTTTCTTGCCCTGGTTATTACTTTGTTTTTAATTTTATTTACTTTTATCTTTGCATATCCTTGAGATTTCTTTTTCTTTTTTAAGGTACTCTTAATGAAATTTAGGGGTCTGTGAACCTACCTACCTGTAGAATCTCTTTCATTTCCTTTCTTTAAATGGCGTAACTATAAACATGACTGCAGGAATAATTTGCTCAAATTTCCTGCAAACACTTTATGAGGTTCCATATAAATTCACTAATAAGGAACAAACTTCCCTCCTGGCTTTGCTCGTGGACTTGAGTTATATTAAACCTGGCACTGTTTTATTATCACTTAAGACAGTTGAGTAAGGGGTTTACAGAAAACCATAGGCATTCGATTGCCTTGAGACTTGTGTTTTTAGATGATTTTTGGTAATTCCAACTCTCTAGGAGGCTGGATTCATTCAAAACCGAAACCATTTTATGAAGAAGAAAATAAATCTTGTGAGGGAAATGCTGGCTGGCTGGATTGCGTTTAGACTGATGGAAAAGCGAAAACAAAACTGGATATAAAGGATGATCTGTTTACAAAATAGGAAGCTGGCTTCTTAAATTCAGTGCAGATGGAACCCTTATGGAAGGGCAGAGTGTGACAGCAAGGAGCCGGAGTTTGAGATGCGTTAGCACCTCTACTTTGCCTCCTTTCAGAGGGCCAACGTGCAAAAGATCTTAAGGTTGCTTTGGCACGTATAGCAACCAGTATAACAGGGTTACCCCAAAACAGCAGCTCCATTGCTATGCAGTTTCACAAAAGCACGTCGTCTTCATGCAAGTTGTACAGTTTCATCATCTACATGCAGCACTGTCACCAAACGAAGATGCCTCATATGGACACCAGTTTATCATTACAGACTAGCACTTGCAGTATCAGAGCTGACAGGAACATTATCTAACTCAAGACTCCTTTCAGAATTTCTGCATGCATGCTAACACCTGACTGGCTAGTTTAATTTGTCTCCTTTTCTTCCCCCTTGCATATATGACCCTAGCAGTGATGTGTAAGGACACAGGTAGAAAGTACGGAGCAATAAACTTCGTTAATTTGAGTTGAGATCAAAGAGAAACAGGAATGGGTGGGGTGTTGAGCTGAATGCTTCATCCCAAACGTTTATGGTTTTTTTTTTTTTTTCATTTTTAATATGTATTTGTCCATGTGTGGAGTACACAGTGTTGACATTCCTTGCGGAGAGCTGCTGTGTGCACATAAAGATCTTTCAGTCTTCTTTTCCATCTCCCTCCAGGCTGGTCCCTGCAGGCGGGCACCTCGAGCAGTCTGCAACAGATGCTGGCCGCTCCCTGGCTCAAAGGTCTACACATGAAGTCACCATAACGGTAAGCAGCCTCGTGCCATGGATCCCGGTCCTCCTGTTTGAAAGTATTTTCCACAGTAGAATTGGATTTTGCCAAAATCAATACCTGGTTTTTGGTTTTGTTTTGTTTTGTTTTTAAATCTTTTTTTGAGACAGAGTCTTGCTGTGCAGTTCAGGCTGGCCTTGAGCTCACTTTGTAGCCCAGGTTGGTCTCAAACTTGCAATGATCCTCTTACCTCAGCCTCCTGAGTGCTGGGATTATAGGCATGAGCCACCATGTCTGGCTCACAAACACCTGTTTTGCAATTGGTTTGTGTGTGTGTGTGTGTGTGTGTGTGTGTGTGTGTGTGTGTGTTTCCCCCCAAAGAAAGTTGCAAGTCTTTCTGTTTCCTGACATTGAAGGTAGAGGGGAGAACATCAGAATGTTTTAAAATCATGAGATGAGCTGTGTGGTCAAATCTGAAGCAAGAATGTACCTTGCATACCTTTTAAGAATTTTGGATGCTAGCCGAGGCTTCATAAACTTGTCTGAGTCTTACCCATGAGAGGATGACAGCTCTGAAAATCAGGCTCTCTTGTCAACAGTATGAGTTGCAATTAAGCTGAAACCTTACCCATCACAATTGGGCACATGCATGTAGATTTTATTTGGCTCCTGTGTCTTAATTCTCTGCTTTGTGTCTGACTGCAGACTGACTCACTGGTTAACTCTGGGGTTCTGGGGGTTACTGTGTGTAAATCTACCAAGACACACCAGCGCTTCTCCAGAATACAAAGCAAACAGTTATGTGTGCATGGGTGTCAAGGGTTGAAGTTCACATCCAGATAAAACTGTAATAGCCCCAGAAGTTCTGGAAAAGTCGATACCTTGGGGCTGGCGGTGTAACTCATGGTAGAGAGCTTGCTTAGCATATGTCAGCCCTGGGGAAGAAGGCTGGGAGGGGGAGTCATTATCTTTTGTTGTATGGGAGTTTGGAAGTCATTTTATTTACTTACATTTGTTATTTTTGTTTCATGCTTTAATGCTTTTTTTTTAGTAACTACCTCCTCAAAAAAAGGCCCACATAACAGTTTTTGTTATTTTAAAACATACAGGTTGAACTTTGGAGATCTTTGTTTTACTGTTTTAGGAGAACTGACCTAAGCAAGAGGCTTACATTTAATTAAAATTAGACTTATTACTTGAGGTATTTTTGGTAAACGAACTTAATTTTTTTCCAGGATTCTGGGGGAAGATGTGTTCATATGAGGGAGAGATTGTCACGGTCTTACTTGTCAGCCAGTGCAGAGCTTGGAAACAGAACCATAATTGTGCTAAACACTTCTGTTCCCAAACTGAATTGTTCTCCAACACAAGCGTTTTTGAACTGAGGTATCACTGCAGATACAGTGCATTAACGCATTAAAACATACATCCACATTTTGACATTATTTGACGTAGGTATTTGCAAAACATACTTCAGCAAAATTTTGCCAATAAAAGTAAAATTTATAACAGGTAGATTTTTTGTTTTTTGAAACAGAGTCTTGCTATGCAGGTCAGACCTGCCTTGGGCTCACTTTGTAGCCCAGGGTGGTCTGCAAGGTGCAACAATCCTCCTGCTTCAACCTCACGGGTGCTGGGATTACAGGTGTGTGCCACCACACCGGCTTAACAGATAGAATTTCACGACTAACTCTGTGACTTGGAGTGACAGCTTTTACAGCAGAGGAGCACCCTGTTGTGTGGAGGGATGAAATCAGTGTAGCCTTTTATCAGCTAGTAGACATCACCTGGGTTGTAGTTACCCTTTGCTGTCAGCTCAAATGCTGGCCCACACATCCGTGCTCAAGTGTGAGAGTGTGTGTGTGTGTGTACGTGTGTAGGTGTGTTTCAATGCTTGGCGGTGAGTGCTCAGGGGTGGATTTGCTGCTACTGCTGCCTGCCCTGGGAACTCCACATTTACCACTTTGAGGAACTGTCAGACCTTTCCAAAGTGGCTTCCCTGTCAGTCAGCACTATTGTAAATATTGTTTTTGAAAATGACAGAGGGAAGATGGGCGACTTTGGCATTTTTGCAGCCTCTGTTAAGTCACTGTGCCATTGGGACATGTAGCTGGTTCTCCCATGTTGTCCCCAGAGGTGGCCCTATGTCACTTACCTTCCACAGCAGCTGCAGCTCAGCAGGAAAGCCAGGAATAATAACGTGTAAGTAACACATGTCAGAAAATAAGGGCTGACAGCTGTGGCCATCAGGACCACCTGGCTTGAGCTTAGTGTGCCTGTCTTTCAAGGCATCCCTAGCAGGTAACAGTAATGTTCTTTTTGGCTTATTCAGTTTGAAAGTGCTGGTTATGTGTAGCAGGCAGGAAGATTTTAACTGGAAGGGTAGGGGCCATTGTTTTCAGGTGTAAAAACAAAAACATCTGCAGTGGAACAGGAGAGACACAGTTGGGCTCCATGTCTCAATCTGTTTTTTGTTGCTATAAGGAAACACCTGAGGCTTACAAAGAAGAGAGGGTGACTTAGCTCACAGAGGCTGAAGGTCTAAGCAGCAGCTCAGGACCTGCTCTGGCAGATGCCACCTGGACTATACGACCTCATGGCATGTGCATCTCAAGGGCAGAGAGACTCACACCAAAATCAGGAAGCCAGAGGGGACCCCCCACCCAGTCTGGGGACCTCCTGACAATAGGCAGCACCTCTTAAGGGTCACCCACCTCAGCTGTACCACACTGAGGACCAGGTTTCCCACACGAAGACTCTCAGGACCTCCAGATAGGCCAAGTCTTAAGTAGCTGTGGTGGATTAAAAACGAAGTCAACTTAACACCAGCTGAACTGAATCAGTGTGGTGCTGAGCATGACTGGCCCACCTGAGGACTGTTGCCAGCATAACAAGGAGACCTGGAAAGGAAGAGTAACATTGTGGGTTCTAAGTAAATGTTGTTGTTTGGAATCATTGGTTCTCCTGGAGGAGCTTGTCATGTTGGTTTCCCTGATATGAACCTGATATCATCAGAGGAGCTTGGGACCTTGTCACTGAGAATGGCTGTGGTTCACTTTGGGGGAGCTCCAGTCCTTACATTGAGCATCACTTCTTGGCTCTGGACGGGAAGATGTGAGCTGTTCAGTCTCTAGGAGAAGCTTGTCATGCTGGTTTCCTGATATGAACTTGGCTGTTCTCATCGTCAGAGGAGCTTGGGACCTCATTGTCAATGAGGATGGCTGTGGCATTTTTCAGGGGAGCCCTGGTCTTTATTTTGTGTTTCTTGGCTCCAGTGCAGAACCCTCAGCCTACTGGGACAGATCCTTCATCCCGCTGGCACAGACTTTCATGAGGCATTGTTGTGGGCTCTGGGCCTCCAGTTAGACTCATGGAGAGGGGCATTGTCAAGGGCTCTAGGTCTTCATCTAAACTTATGCAGGACATTGCTGTAGGATCCAGGCCCTCAGCTAGATTCTCTAGGTCTTTAGTGTGTGGACTGATTTCCTGCACTTCTTGTGTTTAACTTTTGGGTGACCCTCATAAATAACACTCTAAATTCTGTGTCCAGTATTAAATTGTTTCCCTGGCAATCCCTGATTACAGCAGTAGCATAAGCTTTGTGGGCCAGACAGTCTGTGTCGAAGATGCTCGCACCTGGCATCCCAGCGTCAAAGCAGTGGAAGCCATGTGCAAATGAACAGACACACCCTTGCACCCTTCATGTGGCCTTTGTAGATTTTGACCTCAGATTGGGGTTCCCTGACCTGACCTGGAGGACCAAAACTGTTTGCAATTGAGGCCCACTGATACAGTTACCCATCCGAATGGTTGTCACTTTGCAAAGCCATGCAGCTATCTGGGGAGCCATGTCTGTTGTGCAAGGCATTCGTGACCTGACTTCCACACAACGGGGAATGGCTCTGGACCTGTGTGACTCCTGTACCTTGGGGAAGTCCTGTAAGCCTGTAGCAACCATGCCACCCCCGGGCATAGCTAGGAATGTCTGGTGATATAGTTATCTCATCACGAAGCAAGCAGCAAACACTGCCAAGAGCCAGGATACTGCTTGACATCCTCTGTGCCCAGGTTAGCCCCTCACCTCAGAGAGCAGGTGCTCCTGCTGCCAAGGTCAAGGGGAAGCTGAGGCAGTCTGCTCACTGTCACTAGCTGGTCTTCTGTCTCACATTCTAAGTTCTCCCGGGCTTATGGCTATGGAATTTTAAGTCAAGGGGAAGCTGAGGCAGTCTGCTCACTGTCACTGGTCTTCTGTCTCACATTCTAAGTTCTCCCGGGCTTATGGCTATGGAATTTTAAGCTGTGGAGTGTTTAGTTACAAAACTCAGTGCCTGTGTTGGCTGGCATAAACATGAGGATGGTTGGACTCTAGTGTTTATTGATTCATTTGTTCTTCAGTTTTCCTTGTGATTCATGTAGATGGAAGCACAAAAACCAGATATAGCACCAAGATTTATATGGATGCTAGGCTGCCTTGGGGAGACTTTCTGTCCACAGAGAAAGCTGCAGGTCTGAGTATATGACCCTACTTAGGATCCTACCGAATGCAGAAAGGGGAGATACTTGTGTGTGGCCCAAACTAGCTCCTGCATCCCGAGGTGAAAAATTGTTGTTCTAGAGGTTCCCTGATAAGCCAAGGGATATCCTGAAGTTGGTTTGTGGGTCTGGTACACAGTGTATAGAAACTGCATTCAGCTTGTCTGTCTGCAAATTGGCTTCTCTCCCTAGAAGATCTGTCCTGTTGATCTAGTGGACATGAGAAGTTTTGCTTAAAGACAAAAGTCAGTAGCAAAACAGGGCAACCTGTGCTGGTGCTAAAGCAATAATCCAAGCAGACTGGCCACCCTGGACATCAAACTTGAAATCTTAGGGATGTGAACTTTCATTTAAGTGGCTAGAGAGGAAAGAAACAGGAAGGGAAATTGTCTTATGCGTATACTCTGGCTCATGTGATGTGAACTTCCTCAGCAGTGATTTGCAATGGCTAGGTCGAGCATTTTCAAAGCAGTCGTTTTTTGGGCTTCCTCTATGTCTTTTCCGCCACCAGAGCCTCTGCCATTGACCTGCAGAATGTGGCTAGAAACTGTGGCGCATTGTGTTCCTTGGAAAAGCAGGATTCTTTTAATAAATATGGAAACAGCCCACATTCTTAGAAGACACAGAAAATACAAAAGCACGTACGTACAGAAGGAAGTCAAGCAGAGTCCCACCCCTAGAAATAAGCATAAATGCAGTTTGGAGGGTTTGTTCTGTTTGTGTGCATGTGTACACACATGTGTGCACAAAACCAAATTTAGCTCATTCATGGTCCACCTCAAAGACTAATTTTTCCATTTTCTCCTGTCTTAAAATACTCTTTTAATGGGTGTTGTGCCTCTTGATTCTTTTGTTTTATCCACATATTTAAATGGTGACACGCCACTGGACATTTGAAATCCGGTAAGGAAAAAAACAATTCTCTGATTGTATTTCTGATTTTGGACCATTTGACTTCAAGTAGATAAATATACCTACAAAACTGATAAAAAGCTTTTCTTTTTCAGAAAATTTTTCTTACTGTAGGGAAAAATGTATATGCATATATACACAGGTGTACATGTATCTTCACATGCTCACTGATAAGTGAAGATAAGTATATGAAAGGAAGCAACCAGCATAAAACTGCTATTGATATTTTGTTGTATTTCTTCCTGACCTTTCCCTATGCATGTATTTGGGATCAAACCGTAAGTGTATGCTGGCCTTCTCTTTGGCTTGTTACACACACACACACACACACACACACACTCACACACCCAAAACCCTCCCTCCAATTTGAGGTGCTATCATCTTTCCATTCGGCAGCTTTGAAAATGTTGACGCAGACATCTTAATATCACAGTGTTTAATGTCAGACAGTGTCACTTTAAATCCTTGTTTCCCTGGGGTTTAATTTGGTCATCATCTCCTAGCTCTTCATTTCTCTAACTTATAAAATGGCAATAACAGTAGTCACAGCCATTTGTGTTACAGGGTGACAGACGAGTAAAATAAACTGTAGAAGGCATTTAGCACTTGGGCCTCATACCTAGAGAGTGTACTCTGTGATATATTGCTTTCTAAAATTACTGGAGTCGCAGCATGATATTTCCCATGTGTGTTTTCTTACAGTTTATTTAATCCTGCTGACTTTGGACAGTCAGCTGCATCCTGGCTTATTTACAGTTCGGTAGCCTCGAGGACAAAGACATAGAGTAAGTGACAAGATGACCCCGTTCCCTCCTTCCCTGGACGAAGCGGTTCCTATGCAGATCTTACAGAAGGTGCACTGGGATTTCCGTGTAAAATTTATTGTGTTGCTTTAGCAGTGGGGTTTTCATATAGCTGCCAATTATGAAATGCGAATAGATACAGCTTAGAGAGAAAGCAGGTATGCAGGAAGCCACCCTGCAGGTGAAAACACCACAGGCAGCCCTTAAGCTGAGCACAGGAAGGAGCACGGAAGAGAGGGCCCTGCTGAGAACCAGGGTCATTTCAAACTGACTCCTGCTGCTCTGGCCGCCACACCAGCGTGAGGACTCTGGGCCATGGCTTCCTCCTGGGTGAGTGTGGCAGGCTGGTGGCAGAAAGGAGATGTACTTTTTCATGTCCCTTGGGATGCCAAAGGCTGCTCTGCAGCTCTTAGGAGCCCCAGTCCTTGGGAAACATAAAGAGCTGCTCCAGGCACTGCTATACTCTTGCTGGACACACAGGTGCAGGCTCTGATCATCCAGGCACTCACTGGAGCTCTGGGGTCTCTGGAGTCGATCTTCAAGATAATTACAGAACAATGGAGATTTTGTTGTTTGGGGACAGTCCTCGCCTTCCCAGAGAATGGTGGCTATTGCAAGCCAAGTACACATTAAATAAAGTAAAACACAACATTTATTTTTCCCTGAAAATGATTGGATTTTGAGCTGTTTTGTCAGGTGATCTGCAATGAACAGGAGCTCCTGCCACTTTGAAATTAAGCTGTTTGAAGAAGAAATGCTAGAAATTCTCTTGCCTTCAGTCTTGGATGACTCTAACCCCAAGTTACTGTTTATCTGCTGTTCCTTGTCTTTAGCAGGGAAAGTCCCCAACTGCCATCGGCCTCCTGTGCTTATTTTCTTCTCCTGTTTCTTGAGTAAGCAGCACAAAGGGGACATCATGGCCATGCCTTGAAGTGGAAGGGGGTTATTTCCCTTTTTGTGCCATGACAACTCCAAAGACAGCCAGTCAAGCCAGCTGATGATGCTGCTAATCAAAACAGAGTCAGGCGAAAAAATAAATACTGGGGCTCGAACAAGGAGCTCCTCATGGCCCCTTCCCCTGGCTGCATATGCTTACGGACAACTCGCTTTTGTTCTGGGAGTGGAGGCTGGAAATGGAGGTTGCTCTGGGAACTTAACTAGTTCACCAAGATTCAGGCTTGCAGCTGTGCATACAGAAACAGAATGCCTCCCTCCTGGTGAGGCTTCTTCCTGTGAGGCCTTGCCTGTGTGACAACACTCACGAGATGGGCCTAGGGTCAAAGTCTGACGATCATGGTAAATGTATCTGCAATCTCAGTGCTTGGGAGGCTGAGGCAGGAGGATAACAGCGAGTTTAAGACCAGTCTGGGCTATGTAGTAAGTTCAAGGCCAACCTGAACTGCATTCATATCAACACCCACCAAAAAATAAATATGAGGGCCCATTACGTTGCTCAGGAGAGCTTTCAAAGCTGGCTAACTAAGAACATTAGCTATCAGGGTGGCTACTTGCCATGTACAGTATTCTGCTCTGCAAATTAGTAGAAAAACACTGAGTCCCAGAACCTCTTTTTGGAGAGGAAGCCCAGCCACCTAACTCAGCTTCCAATCTCAGACCAGGAAGTAGGAGAGCCCCAGTTGGAAATCGGGCTGCCCCCTGGGTCCCACACTGCTGGCTCTCCTACCTTCTGTTCCACAGAGCAGAAACTGGGGCTCTGATTTGCCCCAACCTCGCTGTAACTAGTGCCACAGTGCTCACCCAACACCATCGTCCTGGGCATCAAGGACAGAGGCAACCCTGTCCCCTTGTACTGGAGCATCTTCACCAGGAGCATGATGCTCATAGCAGAGTCACAGTCCTATCCTTAAAAGCGGCCCTCCCCCTTCAAATGCACATGCAGAGCTCCAGGCCCTCCTCCCTGTGTCTCTAGCGTCTCCTCCTCCCCAACATGGGCCTGGCTCCATCAGTTAAGAGCTCAGCTTTACACCAAGCCTGTAGCTCCGTGTAGAGGGAGCACTAGCTAGCATGTGCAAAGCCCTGATCCCCAATCCTGCAAAGCAGATGGACACCAAAGCCGGGCATTTAACGCCCTCTCCCATGTCTGTCCTCCCTGAAGGTCTGATGCCACCTCCTAACACCGTGTCCTGCTCCTTGGGGGCTTTGCTCCTGGACCTCTGCATTGTCTGCTCATTAGATAGCTTCAGAGCTGTGTGCCTGTGAGAATCTGTTTTCATGTGAATGTGTTTAGTGCTGCCAAACACCAATCATGATTCTAGGAGATGCATGGTAATTTTGTACCTTACAGTTCCTTAATCACAGAAAAGTTATGGCGAGGTGCCCTGTGCACTTTTTATTCCCTGAGGATGACATTCAGTGCGAGGCGATGACCATGGGCCTATGGGATGTGAACCTGCCTTCCCACAAGCCTTTTTGTTCTCTTCCCCACGAGATTTCCCTGAGAGTTGCTGCACAGTATGAGTGGTAATTTAATAGCAGGCACAACAGGATTTATTTTGCTAATACATGCAGTCTCAGAACACTCAAAAACAAGCTGAATTCACTGTCTCTTGGCTCTCGTAGCAAAGGGCCTAGTGGAGCCAAACTCATGGAGACCTTCAAGGGTCCAGGCCTGGGGCACTGGTGTCATAGGTGCAGACTTTCTGTCTATTCCTTGCAAGGTCCTGGCAGACACAGTATCATGTCTGTGCCTCAGTCTCCTTATCTGTAACATAAAGAAAAGAGGGCCCCCGCTCTCCTGGATTGATCCATTGAATTGCTCTCATCCTCTGAGGCATAAGGTCCTCTCCCCTGCATAGTGTGCAGGGTCTGGGACTACTGGCTACTTTCCTAGGATTTCCAGGTTTGGAGCATTTCCACTGCCAAACCTGCAAGGGGCACTTGTGCTGTTTCTACCTCATCCCGAAATTCTCAGGGATGTAAGACTAAAATTAAAGTTCTGTGTTTCCCCATCCCTACTCCACCCCAACTTGACAAAAGGCTTTAAAAACACTTTGGTTGGGGCTGGGGATTTAGCTCAGCGGCATAAGCACCTGCCTTGCAAGCAGGCAGTTGTGAGTTCGATCCCTGGTACCAAGAAAAAGAAAACAAATAAATAAATAAAAACACTTTGGTTGTGGAAAGAGTAATTGTTAAACTTCAGTTCAGGGTGTGAATCAATGGTGTTTGTTTTCAGCAAACATTATCTAAAAGATTGTGAAAATTATCTTGCTGCATTTCTCTGGTCTTCTCTGACCAGACACTCCCATAAAGTACAGCCTCAGGCATTCCATCTGACATCTCTCAACCTTCCCCAACTCTTCCCACAAGCCAGTTCCAAAGCATAGTCACAGCAACAAACCCACTCTTGGTACCAAATGCTGCCTTAGTTACTTTTCTTGCTGAGACAAAATGCCCAACATTCAAAGTTAAAAATGGAAAGGTTTATTTGGCTCATAGTTTGTAGAGATTTCAGTCCTTAGTTGGCTGGTTCCAAGGTAGAGGGACATCACAGAGGAGAAACAGTCCATGGAAAAGCAGGGCAGATAGAAGACAGCAAGCAGCAAGTACAAGCAACCTTGGCAGCTTTTTTCTTTCTGCCCCTTTTATATTTGATCTAGGCTACCAGGCTTCAGGAGGGTGCCAAACCAATAAGTGGACTGAGTTAGTAATCATACACCCTTAATTCCAACATCACACACTCTAGATCCAGCCACCTCTGGAAAAGCCCCCACCTGTGACCACAGGAAGCTTTGAGGGACATCTAGACACAAGCAAGAACAGGATATTAGGGCTGGAAAGAAACACAGAGATCAACTAACACAAAAAAGTGAAACAGTTGTTTTCTACCTACTTGTGGGCATTTGGGGTTTTGTAATGGGGATTAAACCTGGGGACTTTGTACTGAGCTGTGTCCCCTTTCCTTTATTTTTATTTTGACAGTCTTACTACATTGCTAAATTGCCCAAGCTGGGCTCAAACTCTCCATTCTCTCCATCCCAGCTTCCCAGAGTGATAATATTACACTGTGCACCACCACACCTGGCAAACTTTTAATCTTTTGCTTTGTTTTATTTTGTCTTGGTTCGATATAGGATCTCACTGTGTAGCCCAGGCTAGCCTCAAACTTGTGCTCCTCCTGCCTCAGCCTCCCAAGTGCTGGGATTAATAATACCATCTGCAAAGTGGACCTCAGAATGCCTTACAGTCCATCTTCATAAATGCCCAAAGCACAACAGAAATCACTTAGTGTTGTGTCTATATTGGGTTTCATAGATGCCATTTCTCAAATGCATCTGTTTAGCTCTCTGAAATTACCCATTGAGGTGCCTGCCCTTCCACTGTTTTGTTCTCACAAGCTGTTGATATGAAAACCTGATCCAACCTGCAGATCAGTCTGTAGGCCTCGCCTGGAGAGGGGACGGGGATGGAGCGCTGGGCAAGAGAGACGAGGACAAGTTGACCAATTCCAATCAAGTCCCATTTATTCATGAAGTGTACATGGCTTATATAGAGTCAAAGGGGATGTGGCTTCACAGGGTGGGCTGGCTTGGATCTCCTCATATGCCGTGGGCCTATCAGACTAGCAGGAAGTCATATGTAGGCACATAGGTAAGCGGAAGTGATGTCAACAAGAGGGGATTATGGGAGATGTAGGCTGAAGCGGGAAGATGCTTACGTCATGTGCATTGTAGGCAAGGGGAGAATCATGGGAAATGTAGGCTGACACACAAAATGCCCTCAGGTGGGAGGGGCAGGACAGTGGCAGCCATTCTGAGCTGCTCCCTACATCTCCTCCCTTATTATATTTTTTAGGAGTATGGCAGGCCCTGTGAGGACAGTGCCTGTCTTGGGTCAAGGACTCCTCATATGAACCCAATCGAGCCTTACCCGTTGTGGGCCTACAGGATGCCATTGGTCCTGTGCCTGTCTTAGGTGGCCGATGGCATAACATATGTGTCCTAGTTGCCTGTCTCTGGATGCCT